ATTTGTACCATATATGGTATTGTTACTACATGTCTGTCTCGGGTATAACATAATATGTATGTATATACATATATCTGTACATATTAAGGAATTGATCTCTTTAACGAGCTCTCAATTGCACAAAATATAAGCACATACGTATTCACATACAAGTCCAAGGGTGAGATTAGGTTTAGCGGATTAAAGTCCCGCACTCAGGCTTTCGAAGCTTCCTCCTACTATAAAAAAAAAATATATATAAGTCCAAGTATTAGGGTGTACCTAAATACAAATCATGCAATATTTTAACCCTTTCATGCCCGATGTTGCATAGGCAACATTTCATATATGCTTCCCATTATATACATTTTTTAACGGGCGGTTTTTTGCCTTATGTAGTCTGGTGTATTTTGTAAGCTTACAGAGCATTGTTCTATCGTAAGCTATGCAAGGGTTCATTCAGTAGGCGGTTTTCGTGGAGTGAAATTGTCAAGATTACGAAAAAAGTGAAAGATAAACCATCCTAAGTTATCACAAGCGCAAAAATTGTATCACCTCAGATACAAAACCAAAGGTCAAGATGGTGTAATAGTCAAACAGTTTGCATTGAATGACGATAATTTCAATTTGGCTTGGGAAGCTCTAAAAGCTAGACACGGAAACGAAAGAGTAGTGGTCGATTAAAAAGTAACGAAAAGTCAGAAAGAAACAAGTGAAGAATTCCTCAAACTAGAATCCACTGTTTCAAATTACTTGTCGATTCTATCGACACCAAATATCCCCACAGAAAGCTGAGGCACTATTCTGGTAAATATATGCTCCGCAGCATTACCATAAAAATCGTTTCTTTTGTGGGAGCAGTCGCTCTCATCACGAAAACAGTGCCCAACGTGGCAACAAATGAAAGATTTTCTGACTATCCAATATGAAATAGTGGAAAGAGTAGATGAAAAAATTGTCAGATTGAAAAAAATTAAACACGACCAAAATCGTAGCTTAAAGAAGGAACCTGGTTAAGAGGCTTCAAAAAATCGATTTTTTTTTTTAGGATTTTTTTGAGAAGGAAAGAAATAAGCGATTAAAGCGGAACTTCTGGGGCTTACAGTTATATATTTAAACATCATTCACAAATTTTTTTGGATACGGAATCTTTGGATTTTTGGGATGTGCATCTGTCGGACGGCGGGCAGGATGCAGGTCGCAATTTCTATCGGAAACAAAAAATTTAAAGAGATTCATGTTTTTTAATAATTTATCTTATAGTTAAACAAAAAGATTCCAAAACAAGTGTAAAATTTTAGATATTTAAAAAAATTAAAAAAGTGCTTTTTGACCAAAACTTTGTGTTGTTTAAGGGGTTATATAAAGTTAGGAGGTCGGAAAAAAGGCATTTTCCAAGAATTTCTTCTAAGTAAACTATTTGGTTTATTGATTTGAAACTTGGCAGGTGTATTATGACCTTAAACTACTATATTCACATATTTTTTATTGCCAAAAATAATTATCGGGAACGTTGATATTGCCAATTTCGTAGAGGTCCGCAAGAAAGGCCTCTTGCGGTGAACACGATATCTCTGGACTGGATCATTTAAAATGCAAAAACCAAATAAATATAATAAATAATATAGTGATTGATTGTAGGAATTAGCAAAATAATTTTTTTACAAAATTGCGGCTACTCAAAGCAAAAGGTTCGATTTTCGACCAAAATTCGGGTCTTTAATTGTTTATAAAAAAAAAGAAATTTTCATCGGATGGCGAAATCCTTCGATTAATTACTAAAAAAATATAGTTAAGAAGCTTGTGTAAAAATTTCAGACCGATCGGTTCAGCCCTTTCTGAGAAATCTTGCTCACCGACTTTGAAAACACCGTTTCGAGAAAAGCGAGATTAAAGTTTTGAAAGCACTTTACATGCAGTTAATTTTTTTCACTAATGTGTCTATAACTTCGAAAATATTCGTCGGATCGACTTGAAATTTTGTGTGTGTATACTCAGATATATATATATTCAGATTTTTTTAAAATCTTTACTGTATATGACCCCTTAAAAATATTTTCAAACTTGAATTTTCTTAGTTTAACTAGAAGATAATTTAATGCCAAAGATAATAAACTTTGCCCCAATTCTACACGACGTTTAGTTTTTTTCTATCAATTAGGAAAATTCGTAAGAGTGAAAAACCGAGAAATCGCGTGTTAAAGTTTTCGCTTTCCGTCCAATCGCTCATATACACTTGTGCTCACATAATTAAGCCACTGCATAGCAAAACTACGTTTCTGAAAATAAATTCACCGAATTAGMTTTTCATTTGTATAACGGTATGCAAAAAAGTTCCGTTATATGTTAGGAAGTTACTAAGACCATATTCAGAGAAATAAGTATCGTGCTTGGTGAAAAAATGAAAATAAACTCGCAGTT